CTTACAAGAGCAGTGCATAGTCTCAACTGATGAGTCATCTCTCTAGCCCTGGGATCTCTTTTTAAATCATTCCTAATTCATTATATTAGAATCATTTTGGGTGCTTATTTTATTCACTCCATAAATGACATGGATTTCTTTAAAGCACACAACAAGAAAAGATAATTAGAAATAGTTGACTTTACCGTATTAAGTTTAAAATTAGATAATTCACAATATTTTAGAATATGGAAAATATTTTAGGTGTAGTCTTCATAGAACCATTGATTGTTCAAGTGGGAAGAAGAACAGCTTCATTGATGGACCCAAACTGAAATAGATTGACATGAGGGATGTTGGACACAAGCATCCTCCTCTGAGACTTTATGCACAATGTGTAATTACTCCATTAGGCATGGGGAGGGGCTGTCTCTTCTGAAAATTCCCTTTATTATGCATTTTACCTATGACAGAAGGTCATGGGTTCTTACCAAGCACTCTACTTAGTTGATGGTAGATTAGCTGAGAAGATCACATGCTGTTTGTAGAGTGAATAGAGGTTTTTCATTGGTGGTGTCTATTCTCTCCTCCAGGATGGGAGTATATCTCCTGGAATTGTTCTAGCTAGGACTGGTATGAATGTGTGGTGTTCTTCCCTGGGGCTTATGTGTTTGAACCTTGGCAAAAGCTATGGAATCTTCATTACATGGGGTTAATCTGGCAGAGGTGAGTCCCTGGAAATGTGCCTTCAGGGCTTTTCCTGTCTTCAGTGTCAGTATAGCTTTCTTGGCTTCCTATCTGCCAGCAGGACATGAAAAGAACCAGCCATATACTTCGGGCACCCTTGACTTCCCCTGCCTCACCTTCCTCAGGACTGAGATGCCCTGAGATCATGAGCTAAAATGAAACTCTCCTCTTTTAAGCATTTCTGTATTTGGTCACAGTGATGAGAAAGGCAACCAATACTCTAGGCCTAGCTGCCTTTGACATTAAATGCCATCATTCTACAAATGGCAAAAAAAAAAAAAAAAAGGAGGAGAGCAGGAAGTTTCTAAAAAATAACAGAAGCCAGAATAGAGAACAGAGGCATGTAGAGGATGCCACTTGGAATTATGTGGCCATGTTACCACATAATTTAAACAATAAATTCTCCCATAGAGTCTTCTTCATAAAATATTTGGGATGTCATTTTAAATGTCTGGTTTTGGGGGCTGGAGGGACAGCTTAGTCTATAAGGTGCTTACTGTGCAAGTAGGAGGAGCAAAGTTCAATGTGCAGCACCCCCGTAAAAGCTGGACGTGGCTCAAAAGATGGTGAGAGAGAGCAGTTGAGGAAGACCTGGTATCATTCTCTAGTTGATGTATGTGTGTGCATGTATGTGAATATGAACCTGTATAACACACCACACACACACACACACACACACACACACACA